CTTGAGAGAATTTTAATTTTATTTTTAATTCATTAGCATAATTTTCAATATCATATATCGTTTGTTTATTTTTAATAATTTCGCATGGTAATGCACATAATTTTCCATATACTAATTTAAATGGAGTGTATTTTGTTGTTGTGTGTGGAGTCGAGTTGTAACTGTATACGTAGTAAGGAAGTAATTCGTCCCAATTGTTTATTGTTTTCATGGTCATCAAGTAGTCATTCAAAACTCTGTGGTTTCTTTCAACTGTTCCTAATATCTCATGGTGAAATGGTGTTGATGTTACTTTTTCTATCTTTAACAATTTACAAATGTTTTTTAGAAGTTCATTTGTGAATTCTGTGCCCTTGTCAGTTTTCATTTTTCTAAAACACCCGTACTTAAGTATGAATTTTTCTACAATTGCTTTCGCAGCATTGACAGCGTCTTTCGTTTCTAAAGGGATCGCTTCTACAAATTTTGTTAATTCACATTGAAGTGTTAAAATGTATCTATAATTGTTAGATGGTATTAATGGGCCTACAGTGTCTATTGTTATTACATCAAATGATGTGTTTGGTGTTTCGGTAATTTAGTATTCTTCTTTTTTGTGCCTAATTATTTTAACTCTTGCACATGTGTCACAGTTGTTGACAAAATTTTTTACCATTTTGTTCATGTTTTTCCAAAAAAATTTTTGTTTTAATTTATTTATGCATCTCTTAATTCCACAATGTCCTCCATGTAGAGATTTGTGATATTCTTTTATTAATCTGAGCATTTCTTTTGTATCTTCTATTCGTTTCGGTGGTGTATATATAATTATGTCTAAACTTTCTTTGAATTTTAATTCATTTTGCAGCTTATTAAATATTTCTTTCAGTTCTTGCAAGTTTATTTCATTTAATATTTCATCATTTTCTGCTAACGCTAGATTTGTAATTTTTAAGTTGTTCATTTTGAATAATAACTTCTTCAGAATCAATTTTATCTCTGATAATGATTTCTCGTTGTATTCGACAACTATTTTATTTGCTGCTATAATATTCATTGCACTTTTTTCATTGAACTTTTTATTTTTATGTTCAAGTGCTTTTCCACCTTTAATATATTTTGCACTATTTCTATTGAACTTTTTATTCTTGTGTTCAAGTG